TCTCTGCCTAACACTCAAATATGGAATCAGATTTTGTTTATTTTTTTACTACAGATTGAGCATTTCTGATCCAAAATTCTGAAACCCGAAATGCTCCAAACTGTGAAACTTTTTGAGTGCTGACATGATGCCACACATGGAAAATTCCACACTTGACTTCGTGGAACGGGTTGCAGTCAAAACGCAGACACACGACGCACAGTTTATTCAATGTCCCCAAGAGAAAAAACGCCCTTCCATCCCCCTTCAGATGCGATATACTTTTCCTTGCACACCCAGATTTTCCCACACAAGCATGCTCATGAAGTGTAATAAAATGGTATGTGTGCGGGCCAGACGTGCCAAAGGCATATGCCCCACATTGGACGAAGACCTATGTGCATTACTCACCATGATTTCCCACTTATTGTGTGCTCAATGGTATCAAGATATTTTTGAAAATGTCCAAAAGACTTGCAGCTACCACTATGAGTAACAGTGATAAGAAAAAGAGGGAGTATTTTTGTATTAATAGTACTGATGATGAAGATGTCATTAACACTGCAGAAAAAGTGCCCATTGACGGCATAGTGCAAATGTGCGGTGGGCTTATTGAGGGACTAGAGCAGTGTGCGTTCGTAACGAAACAAGAAATCATGTCTGTTTATAAAATCAAAGGGAGATTTCTAAGACGAAAACCATTGCTAATGAGGCAGCTGACTCTGGAGGAGACGTTTTAAAAAGCCATCCTGCAGATTGTTTCTTCACCCCTAGAGGACCCACTTCTGGGTTCCTCAACTGCTCGTGATGTTTATGCTCACCTAAAAAAAATACAGTGCACGGTGACCTTTCAGTCAAAACACATCTTCGCAGGCGGGTACTGAAAGGCAGCCGTTGTCTGCTGTTGCTGTTGTTTAACAACAATGTGGAATATTCCAGTGATGCTACCGTGCTGCTTAGTTACCTTGAACACTTTATTTTTTCACTATATTCATGGTATGACATATTTTTACTGTGACGTACTTCCATGGGAATAAGTGTAAGAAAATGATTGCTTATCGGTAGCATATAAATTCAGAATCAGGAATGATGGTGCTGCCACACAATCACGGATTGTCCACATCGGGTGGCCGAGATAGTGACACGTTTGCTTTCTTATGGTTCAGTGTACACACACTTTGTTTCGTGCACAAATGTGTTAGAAACATTGTATAAAATTACCCTCAAGCTATGTGTATGAGGTATAAACGAAACATAAATGAATTTCTTGTTTCGACTTGGGTCCTATCCCTGAGATATTAATATCTCATTATGAATATGCAAATATTCCCAAATCCCAAATCTGAAACACTTCTGGTCCCAAGCATTTTGGGTAAGGGATACTCAACCTGCAGTAACTCCATGGGTTCCTGTTTTAGGATCAATTGTGTAATAAATACATTTTATAAAATACACTAATGTGTAATTAATCCTCACATTTCCCTCTGAATTCCATTCTTAGAAAATCGTTAGATGATTTATAACTTTACAGTTGACTCTTATTTAGAAGCTCTTTCTTGAACAATCTTTTTTCAGTAAAATAACTGGGGGATTCTTTGTCCACTATCCTCCCTAAACCTTCTTTCTGAAGAAAAGAAGGTTAAGAAATAAATGTTCCACTTTTTCTCTGTTATTGCCGTTCATACGTAATATCAGAACAATCTTCTTCCAAGCTGCTCTTCCAGGGATCCTATTGCTTTTATGTCAACACAGACCGAGAGCTGGTTTTGTCAAATTGACACCAGCAGCGAATGCCTGGGGGGAGCGGGTGCTGTATTTTCATTTTTCTTAAACCTCCTGTTTGATTTTCTTCTTCTTTGCTGACATTCTCTAACCTACAAAATCAAAATGAAGTGTAATATAGTTACAGTGAATATGGCCTCATCATTGCCTGTGGAGGAACGATCTTTGGTAAAGGATCTCATGATCAGTATTGTGCTGCAAACTCTTGTTTCCTGATTTTTGCATCGTCTTCTTGTAACCACCCGCCTCACACTCACATTCCCCACCCAGATGTTATCACATTCCTTTCCTTTATTTGGATTTTAGAGCTACTACCCTATTCTTAATGAAGTCAATAGACCTGTAATCCTTGAAATTTTTCAAGAAAAACAAAATATTCTTGGGGAATATCTGATCTCTCTCCCCTAAGATAAACTCCTCTCATATTGTTTGCTTTCTTTTAACGTGTTTACTCAGGGGTAACTTTGTAGTCCCTGGTGGGATTATAGAGGGGATCATATACTCCCAGTGCTACATAATTTGTTGTTTTGAAGCTCTGAGTTTGTTCTGCTCATAGGATTTCAATTAAAAATGTCAGTTGCTACTATCCATAGCATTTCCACTGTAATCTCTCTGGCATGTTATTAAGAAGTTCTCTGTAGAATAGAGAATATTGATGAGGCTGTTTTACTTGCTTCATTATTTAAAGGGAGCAATATTCAGAGTCAAAGTATTTCACCCCGAGCTAGAAAAACTAATATTGCTTGTTCTCTGTGCTTTTCTAGCCATCAATCACATACTTGTTCTCTACTATTGTCATTCAGCTGTTACTCTGTGTTACTCCTAGTTTGTAACTTTTAGAGAGTAGGGACCACATTATCTTTTGTTCTCGTATCTACCAAAGCAACTGTTGCCTAGTAGGTGCTTAGTCAATATTTCTTGAATTAAATTTAATTATAGTAGAGCTCTATGGTGCATGGCTAGGAGTCCTCTAATACTAACATTTATGGGGGTTTAATGTTGGTGATTCTTCCTGTTCTATCCTGATTCCTTTTCTTATTCTGCACAATCTCTTTTGATTTAATATTCTCTCTTGGCCCTACTGGGCCGTGTCCTGAGATAATGATGATTTTTGAATGATTTTTAAATGATGTCTAATCCAGCCTGACTTCCTGAGCTTCATATCCATCTAACTTTGCCCTTCAAGTACCACAGAAACAATATGGCCAAGCCTCAAACCTATACCTCGTCTGATGGTGAACCACAGCCCTGTTTACCCAGACAAGGCATGAGTTTAGGGAGTCACATGTTCTCAGGATGTATCCATCCCAAATGTAAAAGTTCTACTACATTTTCATTTTATGCTTCTTTGTATGTTTCCTGTATTAAATTCTTGGCTCCTGAATTGGGGTAGCAGGGCTGTTTTGTCTGTATCCCTAGTGCCTTACATATACCAGAGGTCCAATTAGTATTTATTGAATGGATGAGTGTGTATTTTTAATTTAACATAAAAAATCCTTTTTTTCAAAAAACTGACTTTGCCCTGGAGCTGTGGTTTGAGGTTCTGATCCTCTCTCTTCACAGGAAAGTACACACAGCTCATCTGAGAAGGTTGGAAGTACGAACTTTTGGCCTGGAAGATGGCTTCCCATTTATTCAAAGAGAAGAGGAGAAGAAATGCATTTCTTTCAATACAAATATGGCTGATCTAGTAAAAGGATTCAATCAGAATTCAACTCTTTTTAGATAGATACTACCCTATTCTATCTTTGTCCACAACTTCTTAGAGATGATGATGTGATTCATACATTTTAGACAGAAGCAAATTTGGATTGTAATTTAGGAACATTAAGGGAAATCAGTTATATGTGTAGGTGTTTTGGGGGTGTGATTTAGATACAGAAAAGCCTCCTGCCCAAGTAGCTCATATATGTCTTCTACACTATCTGCAATTCTTCTTTTCATTGGCTACTCTTACTGACTAAGGCATTGAAGACTTTGTCTTCAGTACCTTATCTGAGAGGGCTGACACATTTAGGCATTAATGCCTGAAGGAAAGGTGGACAGACAGCCCACTCGGCTGGTGACAGTGACTGACCAGGGCAGGACCTGGGAGGGCAAATCCAAGTGGAAAGACTGGGCCTGACATGGGGACCAGGTGAACAGATGTCATCTCCTTTATAATTAACAGGCTCTAAGACTGCATGAGGAAGATGAGGTGCTTTGACTGAGGTAGTTCATTCAAAATCCTTCTTAAATTTGCTTCCTAAAAAGTCAACTTCTGTGGCTGTCAATAGCTGTCAATGGCATACGTGATATACCTACATATGACCAAGAGATGTCTGGGGTTAAAATGTAGATGTAAATTCTGAAGACCAAAGCAAACCCAGATCAGTGACTCTTAAATAGGGACCAAGATTGGGGTGGGGTGGGGAGTAGGGGACATGTTGGGGGAAGCCATATGTGCCTCACCCTGCCATTCTGAGAACCACTGGATGTATAAGGGGTACAGTTTGTGGCAGGGTGGTGAGCAACAAAAGACACAGAGACTAGGGAAAATAGTTGCAATCTGTGTCCTAGATTAAGGTCCAGACACCCCATTTACAAACAAGCAATTGGGGCCTGAGGTATTACACGTTGGGCTTTTCCTATCATACCAGGCATCTCTCAGAATTTCATTCTATACCCCAAAACCTCTGTATTGCAAAGTGCTTTTTGGTATGCAAGATGCATTATTTTATTTTATTTTATTTTTTAGTAACTAAGAGCATTTTGATGGGTTTCATGACAAGTTCTATTATGGAAAAGAAAAAAAATAAATATGAACGACGAAGAATAAGTAGGACCACTTGTCAGAGTGACATGGCAGTAGCTGATAATACGAGCAAACATTGAGGAGTCCAATTGTACTAGAACGATTTGATATGATTTAGTAATATCGCCTTAAATAGTTAGTATACATTTAATTAAGCCCCTGGATTCAGAGTGGACTCTCAATGCTTGTAGTTTTCCCAGGAATAAGATGAAATCAATCAATTTAATTTTGGGAGAAAGTACTATATGTTTTACAGAAAAGTTTAGGAATTGATTATTTATAAAGCACTCTTATAATCCTGGCACACTCCACATATTAACAGTTCTTTGGAATCCCTAGCTTTCTGGGTAATTTATGCACAGGACAAGAGGTCAACCTGGGCTGTAGCTGGTTCCGTATTTTTATTACGTAAAATGACATTTAGTATTTGTCTTTTTTCTAATAGGGCCTGTGTGTTCCCTTCAGAGACTCATACAAGTGTCTCATCATGTGAAGGACCTAGATATTTGATTTCACTCCTCCAAGTTTTCATTTACATTACACATTGAGAAAGTTATGAGAAACAACTGTCACTCTCTGGGGGTGGAGACTGCCATGATTCACAAAGACAAGAGGTAATTTTCCTGTAATCACAAGATGACTCAGGTTAGTAGCTTTCAGCTCTTACTGCAACTCAAGTAATACGAGGTTTTTTTGGCAATGTGTATATTTGGTAAACCGAATTAGTCCCAATTCCTATAATTTTAAATTTCTGGCAACGTGACAGAAAGTAAGTTGGA